CACAAAAAAGTGAGATTATACGTTTACTATTTAAATGATTGTATCTTATAGTTTAATTATTAACAAATTACACATTTAATTTATATATATTACACATTTAATGTTTATAAATATCATTTGCAAAGAATTTTGTAACGTATGTTCTGCTGGCCTTTTCTAATTAATTGTTTTATATTTGCAGGCAAAAAAGGGAGTAAAGTGAAGAACATCATGAATAAATATCATGTTGACTTGATATTTTGACTTGAGATCATTATAATTAGACCATTAAACTTTTCTGAGGATGAATATCTATGTCCTTTTTTTAATAGTAGCTTTTGTCATTTCTCTCTTTGTAAATATACATACATATATAATAATGTGTTTCAGATGGATAATTGTATTGTGCAGAAAACCACAATGAAGTGTCTTTTTTTTTTAATAAAAAGTGAAATCATAATTCTCTTCCTTTGTTCATACATAACATTACAATATAATATACAGAGGCAGTTTGGACTGAATTATATCACCATCTGCATCATTACTTTTGTTTCCACATATCAGTATATCAGAATTGGGATAAAAGAGACAGACTAATGAGAACCAGACATTCTGTGTTGTTTGGAGTGTGCAATTAATGAAGGAGCGGCAAAATGAGAAATGAGGTGTTACGTGATGGGTGGTCATTATCACGCCCTTGACCGCAGATTGCGGATCAGCGCTTGAGTTAAACTCCAAATTTGGACTCGCTCCTGAAATTCTAGGATGGCGGTTTTAGGGGTTTTGTTTCCAATCAAACAAAAGTGGGCTGAAACATGAAAGGCCAGCTGATTAATGTGTATCCATGGGGTGTATGCCACTGGCACCACAAAAGATTATGGGCTCTTAGTCATCTCGTATGGAACGTAAAGCCATGCCACTGTTAAATACACCCTTCCTGCATAACCTGCACCCTCATTAGCCACATGTTAATTGATAGAAGGGCCATAAAGTCAGCCACTAATGAGTGGGGATCAACAAACAATTCAACCAGCCAATTAGAGGAATGAAGAATAGTGGTATAAAAAATTCTTTAAGAAAAGACATGCTACAGGTTATGCTTCAGCTTAGTCACAATCATTGTTTGTGGCCTTCCTTCATATGGGCTTCATTCACACTTTTTCAGTGCACTACAAGGTGTTAATTGAAAAAGAATGGTCTTGTGGAAACCGTTGTTTGGTCCAAATTGGCTATAAAATCTCATGGTTTAGGGGAACTTGTCTTGACATTAAAAAGGGTTATGCAGACGATCAGTTCTGAGCACAATGAGCATTACATTGGCAAACAGTGCCTCAATGTCTTTACTATGCCAACAGAATACATGGCATGTCAACTAGTGATTTTTAAATGTTTTAAACATTTCTAATTCCTGTATAGTTGTCATACATGTTGTATTTATGACTTAATATTAATTGAGAGACTATTTGTACTTTCAAAAATTAGCCAGTTCAGGATTATTTAAGTAAAGTGCAAAAAAAGATTAAATTAAAAAAAAAAAAAGAAAAATTTAAAAGAAATCTAAAACGCATACCACCACTATATCGCATAAAATCCTTGAACTTCAAAAGAAGAAAAAAGGATAAAGTACATACAATTTGTAAACTAAAAATAAATAAACAAATAAATAATAGGAGTTAAATAGGAGAAATATGATGCAAGCAACACAACAAACATTTCACAAAGAGCTGCTGTTACATAAATAAGTTTATTCATTTATCCCAATTTAAGAACAAAATAAAATACTTTGGGTCATCAAACGGTCATCAACCTCTGAAATCTGCTAACATGTGAATTGATTTATTTTTAGAGATCTACACATCATCTGGTAACTGTATATGGATAAGTGCAGTGTTACTGACCACTAAGACAGACCGCTTTCAATGAATCTCATATGACTTCAACCCATATCTCTATATATTTACGTTCTTTTGAAATAGGAATAAGATACCCAAAAGCGAGATCAGGAAATTCATCAAGAGAATACAGTCTATTACCCTGACTAGTTTAACCAGCAAGGTATAGAAAATGCAGATAGGGGACAAAAAGTTGCAATCCACACACATTGTGGGTGTAACAGACTTCAAATACACATCAATGCAGAACATAAACACCGTAAGGCACTGACCAGAATCAAATCTTCATATGCAAAAACATGGCATGTTCAAGAGAAAAGCAATGCAACCGTGAAAAGAAACCCGGCGGCTGCAGAGTGAATACAAGGAACTGTCTGCGGGAAACAACAGTATTTCAACACTAAATCTGGAATATATACAAGGTCCAATTTCAGATCAACCTCAAAAGTTGAGAGTTGAGTACTTTCACAGAGTCACAGACAATTGAAACACAATTGAAAAACAAGAAAACTCAGCTAGCAAAAGATAAATCAAAACATAAATGATTCAAATATTTCATTCACTTATAGCTGGTCTGATTAACTATTAGTTACAACAGTTAACTATATAGTTAACTTTTAAATAAACTATTATTTATCATAAGTTAACCATTTGGAAGGAACATCTGATCCTGAAGACATGCATAGAAAAGCAAGACACTCCTTCAATAGACAAATTTGATTGCAATTAAAAAGAAATTACAAAAAAAAAAAAAAAGTTTCATAAAGGATTTTGGACAAATACAAAGAAATTATGATTTCATCAGGCCTTTTCTGAAAACCATTAAGGAATTCTCAGACCACTTAGTAATTCACCAGTTCACTGGAAAAACAAAGATGTCAACGTAGTTTCAGATAACAACATGTCACTATTCTTTCAAGCAGATGGACCATTGAACCTGTTGGCCAAAGTAACATTAACACTCCATTTGCATTATAGTTCCTAGAGAAGAAAATAAAGCTTCTGCAAGAAGATAAAAGCTGCATTTTTTAAAACCGCATCTCATATTAATTTGGCTTCTATTTTCATTCACAGAACATACATTTTAGAACCTGCCGTACAATTTACCATAGCAGCCACAAGGGGGTACACTTGTGCCGTTTTCCTATGCGATGGTCCAAAACACAATATTCTGAAATACCCTGTGTGCCCATCAAGGCCTGTTTTTAATGTGAGGCCCGCTCAGTTTATTACACCAGACATTCCGTTTATTGCACCAGATTCAGCAAAATCTCACACAAAACAATAATGGAAGCTCATAAGAGATTATGGATCCAGTGTTCCCGGCGGACAACTAAAGGATCAAATCAAAGTGCCCACTGTCAACACGAACCCAAAAGGAATGTTGTGTCTTAGATAAAGGCATCTACTTTTAAAATGAAGAGGAAAGAGATTCTTCTCACTGCAAGATCATGTTTGTTTTTGAGAGGTTCATTGGGTTCCAGAGGTTGTAATTCTGGAACAACCTACTCTAGTCTTCATTCTCCTGCCTCTGAAACATCTGTTTAAGCTGGCGCATGTGAATCAGAGGTCCCACCAGGAGCTGCCCCTTTAGGTCAGCATGTAAGTCTAAGCCTCCTACATCCCGCAGAAGATCCAGGTCAGTGCCTCCTCCGCCCTCAGGGTCCACAGCTCTGCGTCTCCTCTTAAGGTCCAGCCCTCCATCCTCTCTGCTCCTCTTTTCCTCTTTCTTCTCCTCTTCTGGTGGAACTATATTCTCCTTCAAGTCCCTGCCTCCTTTTTGCTTAGGCATTGGCAGGGCTTCTCCTGCTTTGGGGGCATCACCATCCTTCTTTGCGTCAATGACCTGCTGTAGTTTGTCTAGTTGTTCTTTCTGCTCGAGTATCCTTTTCTCTTTCTCGGCATGCTCCATGATCTCTTTATCAGTCTTCTCTCGTTTCCGTTTCAAACTCTCATCCTCAAGACTTCCCTTACCCTGTCGCGCATCGATGACCTGCTGCAGCTGGTCTAGCTGCTCCTTCAGCTCCAACAATCTTTTCTCCTTCTCGGCACGCTCCATGATCTCTTTATCCATCTTCTCTCTTTCAAGTTTCAAGCTCTCCGCTTCAAGCCTATCCTTCTCTAGCTGTTCCTTTTGCTGCCGCACACGTTCTAGCTCCTGCTCACGTGCCAGTTCCTCTCTTCTTTCTCGTTCCTTCCGCTCCTTCTCGACACGGGCCTGCACCTCTTTCTCAATCCTTTCCTTCTCCAACTTTTCCTTCTCTATTCTCTCCTTCTCCGCCTCCAGGTGGGCCAATTTCTGCCTCACTCTCTCCTCCTCGTCTGCAAGAGCGTCAGGATTGATTTTGGCCGGTTCTGGTTCTCGAGGACGCAGAGGAACACCTCGGGCACCGACGTCTGGAGGTAGTGCTCCGTCATGCCCTGCTTGGTTGTTTAGCTCCAGCTCCTCCTTCTTGGGAACTTTAACACCTCCATCTTGCACCACTTCAAGGGCATTGTTGGGAAGACTGACTACGACTTCAGCCTCTTTTGCTTCTGGGTCTTCAGGCCCTGCGACAGCTGCAGCTACATGCTTTGTCTCTCCCTGGGGCTGCTGGAATTGGTCTGGAGCGACAGCGGCAACTTTAGGCTTCACTGCCCCTTCCATCCCTTCGAACCCCTTCTGCACAATGTTCCCCAACTCACCTACACCCTCTCCTAAAAAACACACAATGTGTTTCATTACTGCACTGCATGCAAGCGGATTTTAAATGACAACATGACTGACAACAGTATATCTAATAGCATGTTCAAATATCTAATGTAAAAAAAAAAAAAAAGTTTCATAAAGGATTTTGGACAAATACAAAGAAATTATGATTTCATCAGGCCTTTTCTGAAAACCATTAAGGAATTCTCAGACCACTTAGTAATTCACCAGTTCACTGGAAAAACAAAGATGTCAACGTAGTTTCAGATAACAACATGTCACTATTCTTTCAAGCAGATGGACCATTGAACCTGTTGGCCAAAGTAACATTAACACTCCATTTGCATTATAGTTCCTAGAGAAGAAAATAAAGCTTCTGCAAGAAGATAAAAGCTGCATTTTTTAAAACCGCATCTCATATTAATTTGGCTTCTATTTTCATTCACAGAACATACATTTTAGAACCTGCCGTACAATTTACCATAGCAGCCACAAGGGGGTACACTTGTGCCGTTTTCCTATGCGATGGTCCAAAACACAATATTCTGAAATACCCTGTGTGCCCATCAAGGCCTGTTTTTAATGTGAGGCCCGCTCAGTTTATTACACCAGACATTCCGTTTATTGCACCAGATTCAGCAAAATCTCACACAAAACAATAATGGAAGCTCATAAGAGATTATGGATCCAGTGTTCCCGGCGGACAACTAAAGGATCAAATCAAAGTGCCCACTGTCAACACGAACCCAAAAGGAATGTTGTGTCTTAGATAAAGGCATCTACTTTTAAAATGAAGAGGAAAGAGATTCTTCTCACTGCAAGATCATGTTTGTTTTTGAGAGGTTCATTGGGTTCCAGAGGTTGTAATTCTGGAACAACCTACTCTAGTCTTCATTCTCCTGCCTCTGAAACATCTGTTTAAGCTGGCGTGTGTGAACCAGAGATCCCGCCAGGAGCTGCCCCTTTAGGTCAGCGTGTAAGTCTAAACCTCCTGTGTCCCGCAGAAGATCCAAGTCAGCGTCTCCTCCGCCCTCAGGGTCCACAGCTCTGCGTCTCCTCTTAAGGTCCACCCCTCCATCCTCTCTGCTCCTCTTTTCCCCTTTCTTCTCCTCTTCTGGTGGAATTATATTCTCCTTCAAGTCCCTGCCTCCTTTTTGCTTAGGCATTGGCAGGGCTTCTCCTGCTTTGGGGGCATCACCATCCTTCTTTGCGTCAATGACCTGCTGTAGTTTGTCTAGTTGTTCTTTCTGCTCGAGTATCCTTTTCTCTTTCTCGGCATGCTCCATGATCTCTTTATCAGTCTTCTCTCGTTTCCGTTTCAAACTCTCATCCTCAAGACTTCCCTTACCCTGTCGCGCATCGATGACCTGCTGCAGCTGGTCTAGCTGCTCCTTCAGCTCCAACAATCTTTTCTCCTTCTCGGCACGCTCCATGATCTCTTTATCCATCTTCTCTCTTTCAAGTTTCAAGCTCTCCGCTTCAAGCCTATCCTTCTCTAGCTGTTCCTTTTGCTGCCGCACACGTTCTAGCTCCTGCTCACGTGCCAGTTCCTCTCTTCTTTCTCGTTCCTTCCGCTCCTTCTCGACACGGGCCTGCACCTCTTTCTCAATCCTTTCCTTCTCCAACTTTTCCTTCTCTATTCTCTCCTTCTCCGCCTCCAGGTGGGCCAATTTCTGCCTCACTCTCTCCTCCTCGTCTGCAAGAGCGTCAGGATTGATTTTGGCCGGTTCTGGTTCTCGAGGACGCAGAGGAACACCTCGGGCACCGACGTCTGGAGGTAGTGCTCCGTCATGCCCTGCTTGGTTGTTTAGCTCCAGCTCCTCCTTCTTGGGAACTTTAACACCTCCATCTTGCACCACTTCAAGGGCATTGTTGGGAAGACTGACTACGACTTCAGCCTCTTTTGCTTCTGGGTCTTCAGGCCCTGCGACAGCTGCAGCTACATGCTTTGTCTCTCCCTGGGGCTGCTGGAATTGGTCTGGAGCGACAGCGGCAACTTTAGGCTTCACTGCCCCTTCCATCCCTTCGAACCCCTTCTGCACAATGTTCCCCAACTCACCTACACCCTCTCCTAAAAAACACACAATGTGTTTCATTACTGCACTGCATGCAAGATCACTTCAGCAGGAAGCACAACACTGGTAACACTAGAGGTTAACTGAATCATTCTCTTTTTATTGTTCACCAGTGGCAGAAAAACTTTCACTTTTTACATCTAGACAAGTTCGCTGACTTTCAGACTCACCTGCTGCTGCCTTTGGCTCATCTTCTCCTTCCTTTACTTGATGGACCTCCTCATTCACATCTAAGTGTTTTTCTTCATGGTCCACATGTCTTTTCTGCTGTTCGACTGCCTTTGGTTCTTCTTCTCCCTCCTTAATTTGGTGGATCTCCTTGTGTTGCTCCTCAATCACAGCCAGGAGTTTTTCCTGTTGGTCCAGAAGTCTTTTCTGCTGTTCCTGCTGCTCCTTAATTACCTGGAGCAGCACAGCGTGGTCCAACTGACCCTCTGAGGATCAGCCAAGCAGAAAGGTAAAAGAGAAGTTAGAATGAATATATTGTAGGATGCTTATAAAAGTGTAATTTACTATGGTTAAACATACTTGTCAATCTGACTGTTTATCAAATTAAGGAGCATAATTTAAAATTGACCAAAAATAGATTTTTTTTTTTTAGTTTTTCTGAAGAAAATGTTAGTGGTGCCTGTCCATACAACCATTATGTTGTAGTTGGCCTGATAACTTTCCCACTATTTGTTATGCTATGTTATGTAAGCTTCCAGAGCACTGTTAAGTTTTTTAGGTGGTTTGTAAGAAGTTTCTACATGGTTAGTAAGGCATTGCTACACATCTATTAGGAGATTGCTATGTTGTTCTGTGTATTCTGTAGTGCATTGCTCAGTTTCTAGAGTGTTTCTATGCACTTTGTAGGGCATTGCTATGTAGTTTCTAGTCAATATGGAACCCTAACAACATCAATATGGAATTCTACCAAAGAAATCCCTTTCATCATCAAACAAGAGAAAGACTAGGGATCCCAATTAATACCAGATGGCTGTTCAGTTATGTTTCCAGAGCTATAGTACAGTACACACATCTGTAAGCTACAATAATGGTCAATGTATCAACACAGGTAACAGACTATTGGTTATTAACAGCTATACGGGTTGAAGCGGGAGAGGATGACTGTTAAAAATAACACCAAAGAAGACAGACTGAGTGGAGTGAGAACAGCAGACATAAGACACACCATCTCGTACCTGCAACAATCTTTTTAATCACTGTAGGAGGCAGGAGTCCGTGGCACAACAGAATGGCGGAGGAAGATAAGAAATCGAGAAACAAAAGAGAAAAAGACAGCAGAGAGAGGGCAAAGTGTCTTAATAAAAACAAGCCATGTGAAAGAGACAGAGATTTAAGATTTGGTGCATCTTTACAGTATATCTGAGTGTAGCAATGCAATGTGACATTTCAGATGTTGGCCAGTTTGCTGAGAGAAAGTAAAACAAGCATTTGGAAAAGAAAAATGGCAAGTTGTACAGTGCAAAAAAATATGTATTATTACAAAACAGATCTGTCCTTGATGCTAATTGGTAAATATTATGTTCTAGTCATGCTAAAACAACAATATAATAAAAGTTATGACAGTACACTGGTTCATAAAGCTACTGTCTAGTGGGCAACTTATAAACTTAGCACTAAGTAGGTTTTACATATCAATGACTATATTTTCAAGTGTAAAGATTGCATTGCATTGCTTGACTACCAGTGTTGTTATGGTTAACTAAAACTATTAAAAAATCTCTGCAATTTCTGCAATTGAAATAAAGCTGAAATAAAATAAAATATAAATATTACTTTAAAAAACACTTAATGAAAATTAGGAATGTTGCCTTGGCAATTAACTAAAGTTTAAGATTAAATAAAACTGTAACAAAAATAAAGGTAAATAGAAACTTAAACTAAAATCAGAATGAAAACTAGAAAAATAAATCCAGTTCAAAGCCATCCAGCTAGGAGTGATGAAGTAGAACAGAACCAGGCAAAGAGAAGCAAAGTTCGCACCTGTGAGCTCAAACATCTGACTGAATGACTGAACAGAAAATGTTATATATTTCAAACCACATTTCCTATAGATTCTGGACAATGTTCTGTCAATGTTCTGATGGACAAAGCACTCACCTTCCATCTTGTCCCCATCTCCATCCTTGTCCGCCCCTACATCCTTTCCATCTGGAACCTTCTGTTCCTTGTGCTCCTGCACCAGAAACTTCTCATTCGCTGCAGGAAGCAGTCAATGAATGAACAAATCATTACAGAGTGGAAAAGGTCATATGCTTGGACCTTATGATGTGCCATGTCATATCAACAGAATATGAATAAAAACAAAAGGTCAAAAACATTGTTTACAAGCCACTTAAGAGTTTATCAGTCATGTACGCTAAACAGAAACTAGATGTTCACATTTTCTGAAGATCTGAGTGGTTGCCAGAGAATTGCTAAGCCGATGCTAATGTGTTCACTCACGTTTCTCACCCTGGGGTTCAGGGGCTTTGTCCATCTCCTCTGGCTTCTTCTCTCGGTGCGCTTCATTCTCATGATGCTGTTCTTTCAATTCAGACAGGTTGTCTGGTTCTTTATGGACCACCAAGGGCTCGACGTTCTTCAGATCCTCTGAATTTTTTGCCTTGTCCAACACTTCATTAACTGCATGCTGGTCCTGATCGACATCCCTTTTCACCACATCTTCTTCTTTTTTTGACTCCTCCTCTTTTACAGCTTCCAACTCTTGTGCTTGCCCCGCCCCCTGCTCAGCAAGAAGCTCCTTCTCCTCTCTGGCAGGTAGTTTCTTTTCTTCTTCCACAACTATAGGTTGTTTCTTTTCGTCCTCATCTAATTCCTCCTGGTTTTTGATCTCATCTATCTGAACTCTGTCATGAGGGATGGGCGGCTCATGGCGATGGGCTTCCCCATCTGGGACCGCAACACCTGTTGAAGAAAAGCCAGATCACAGTAACTGCTCACAGGTTCTCATATGTCACAAAACCATCTAAATTACACAGCTAAATTAATGCATTACCTGCTTCAGGGCGGTCCAGCTGAACCTTTTCCTCCTCATCCTTTCGCTCAGCCACTTCCACAGGTAGTTTAATTTGAGGGGGCTCTGCTGCTGCCTTCTCTACTGGCTGTTCAACCTCAATTGGTGGCCTATCTGGCTTCTCTCCTAGATCAGGTTCCAGTCCATTCTCTTGCACTACAAACACACAGATCATTAGATGTCACAATGTACAAAAAAATTATGTCAAGTTTCTGTGTGGGGTGAAAGACATGTCAAATTTGTCCCACACCCATGGCTCTCAGGCTTCATGTGGCTCTTTAATGGCAGTCTCAAAATTTCATTTTTTTGTTCTTGAATTAGCTTTTGCCTGAGGCCTGTCAGATGTAATTTGCAGTGTAACTCAAGTTACTTTGATGAAGACCCTACTTTGGGTACAGACAAACCAGAATCAAGCTAAATTATGTTAACAACACTGCATAGGTCTTCAGTGGAAGCAGTGTAAAGATAAGATTTAAAGTCAACATGAAACAGCATACACAAGCTATTTTAGTTTTATAATCTGACATTTTTTAAGTAAACAAGAAAAAGCAGAACTTGATTTTAACCATCAGAATTGCATCAAGTATTTGCTATACAGTCCAACTTGTACATTTCAAATAAATAAATAAATAAAGTCTTCAAATTAAAGGTTTTTAAGATAATAAATACAAATTCAGTCAATTGTGTCCAAACCTTTGACAGTATATACTATCATTCAAAAGTTTGGTCAGTAATATTTATTTTTTAAATAAAGAATTTTATTACGCAATGATATATTATATTAATCAAAAGTGACAGTAAAGACGTATAATATAACAAAAGATTTCTATTTTAAATAAATACTGTTCCTATTTATCAAAGAATACTGAAAAAAATGTATCACCGTTTCCACAAAAATATTAAGCATCACAATTGTTTTCAACATCAATATTACTAAGAATTGTTTCTTGAGAATCAAATCAGTATCTTGAAGTAATGAATACTGAAAATGCAGCTTTGCAATCACAGGAATAAATCACATTTTAAAACATATTAAAATAGAAAAGTTGACGGGTGGTTAGAGTTGACAAATTACAGGGTTTGTTGACATCATTCGAAAAGTAAAGTTGTTTCAGAGACAAAAAAATAGTTAATAATTTTCAATAAACTATAATGAAGAAAAAAATATCCTTTGGAATAACATTTCAAAATAAGACCAGGAACGTGTATTAAAAACAAATGGGGTCCATTTTTATTCATGCATTTTCAGAGGGATTTTTTAAAATACGAGTCTCAAACTAATGAACTGGCTATGGTTATACAATATTAATTTCAATCCAAGCCATATGTGACCCTGGACCACAAAACCAGTCATAAGGGTCAATTTTTCGAAATTGAGATTTATACATCATCTGAAAGCTGAATAAAGAAGCTTTCCATTGGTGTATGGTTTGTTAGGATAGGACAAAATCTGGAATCGGAGGATGCAAAAAAAATCAAAATATTAAGAAAATCGCCTTTAAATTTGTCCAAATGAAGTTCTTAGCAATGCATATTACTAATCAAAAATTAAGTTTTGATATATTTACGGTAGGAAATTTACAAAATATCTTCATGGAGCATGATCTTTACTTAATGTCCTAATGATTTTTGGCATAAAATAAAAATCTATAATTTCGACCAATACAGTGTATTTTTGGCTATTGCTACAAATATACCCCAGCGACTTAAGACTGGTTTTGTGCTCCAGGGTCACATATGTGCATGTCTTTTCTGCTGCAGCAGTCCTAAAAATCCCACTGAGAGTGTCACAGAAACACCAGCAGAGGGCAGCAGAGTATGAAAGACCAACAAGACAAGAGCTGAACAATAGAGGAGATTTCTAATAAGGGTATGAGATAGATGCTCAGTGCTTTCCATATAACCTTGCCACTCGTCCTGTGCAAAACAGCCTTTGAATATTTACAATGTCCACACCTTCCTTTAACCTGATCCTGTAGTGTACTACCATAACAGATAATCTACTGCACGACAGCATTTATGCATACGCAGAAAGGAGTTACTCATTGCAAATGAGAAAGGACAGCAGTTTTGATAAACATTATCTATGGGAGCTGAAAAGAAAAAGAGTGTACAGTACAGGGAGTGGGGTGGGGTGGGGTGCACTTCCCTACAATCCTGAAAAGCAAAGCGTGCATGTGCATACAGCTGCAAACGTACACCTCTACATGCCCGCGGGCCCCATGTTCCACTCGCTCACTGAGCCCACAGCTGCCCTCACCAGCACGCCGTAAACAGGAAACAGGTGTGGAAGTGGGTGTCCGCTCAATGATAAATGCCAGTGTCAGTCAGCAGGAGGGAGTGAGAGGGAGAGGAAGAGGAAGGAGGAGTGGCAGAACAGAAAAGGAGAGGTAATGGTGGATGAAGTTGTTGGGACGCTCCTGATATCTGCCTTTTTTATGAGCCTCTGTCCTGTATCGGCCCGTATTGGAGGAAACACTGATGTTCCTGCCCTCTCCCAGATTTGGATGCCCTCCCATCTCCCTCCCCTGACCAGAGCCATAACGGGAAATCGCCACCGGCCGTTTCACTGCTGCTCTGGGACAGCGAGCGCTCAGGTTTGAAGGGCATCATTCAGGTCACTGATTCAAAGAGAGGCCTGCTACTGAAGCTCATCATTTGTGCTCCTTCACTGTTCTTTTTCTTTTTCTCATTATAACTTGTCCTTTCAGAACTTCTTTTTCTATTTTGTGTCATTTGTCAACTGATAACTTTCTCTTCATCAATATAAAGCATAGATGTACCTGGTCCTTTAGGCAACTCATGGGCAACAAGGATGGGAGGCTTGTCCTCAGTTTTTGCAGGGACATCCGGAGGGGGAATTAATTTCTGTGGCTCGTTGGAGGAAATGGACAGCGTGGTGAAGGTACTGATGAGCAGGATGCCGAGACCGACCCACAGAACCAGCTTTAAAAAAAAAGAGATGAAGAGAGAAATTAAAAGAGAAAAGAAAGTTAGTGTATATGGTCCTTTAACATATTTCAGTTAAATATCAATGGTGTGATGCAGGTTTTCTTTTTGTGTGTGGCTATATTAAAAACATATGCGTAAACATAATAAAAATTGTAATTTATCCAGACGAGGACTTAAGTGTACCACATCTATGAAAAATATGTTATCAATTTCTGCATTAAAATTCATTTTGATATTTTTGTGGGACATAACATAAAATAAAAGTGATACAACTCCATTATATAATGAACAACAAATGTCTCATGCACATGTTGCTGTATGAACCAAAAGCTGTAAATTATATCACAGTGTCAGCAAGTTAAATATATAACTATCTGTTAAATATTACATACATAAACAGATAATTTGACCTTTTTATATTAATCAGATTAAATGACATCAAAATTAATTACATTTTTAAATAATTTTTACTTTGAAAACTAACTTGAATATGATGTGTACACTCAATGGTTAGCCCATCAATTAAACCCCTGACTATTTAAAAATTACATAATGATGATACAAATATAATATTTTCAAACATTGCATTTTTAAGAGGTACATTCTAAATTTTGAAAAGATTTCTCCTTTGAAATATCTTGCTAATTACTACTGACATTAAAAACTAGAGGTGGGAATTGTTTGAAATCCCACATTTCAATTCTTGGGGTCAGCAATGTCCATTTTGAATCCAATTTCAATTTGATACATGCATATATTTGATTCTATTTGACTGTGATAAACAGTTGAATATGTTTTAAAGACCCCCCCCAAAATCAAATGTAAACCATGAAATGTATGTTCTTTTTCTACACGGTTTGGTCAACTCAATAATATGACACAAATTCCATTCAAGCTGACTATATGGCTGCCCTGAGACAAATAGTAAAACTACTCAGTACAAAAACTAAATATCCTAAAACTACAATAAAACGTTTGAAAAGATAAAACTGGTAAATGAAATGAAAGTAATAAAAATGGTAATAAATATTTTTTAAATGCATTAACAAATTTAAAAAAAAAAACGAAAAATATTTTCCCTAACTGAAAATATGGAAGGATGTATTTGTTTTTCCTCCTCACGCAGTGAAGTGTGCGCTCTCTAAACTGTCCCAGTGTTATGCTACTCTCACAGCTGACTTTCATCTTTTTGTTTGAAAAACAAATCTGTGATTTGATTCAAATCGATAAACGATAGAATCAATTTTCCCCCATCCCTAATAAAACTTTAAATTCCAATAGAATCAGTGCACATTTAATTTTAGTGGTTTAAAATTCAATATACAAAGCTGGCAAGGGCGTTGCTGGCATCCAATCTACAATAATGTCCTACAGTCACATTAACGGTGCACCAAACGCTGATGAAATCTATTAAAGCAGGTCCTCTCCCAGTTCCACGGCCCTGATCTGTGGGTATTCTGTGTGCAGCGGTGGACCTGGACATGTCAGGCTGCTTGGCATGAGACAAGGCAGACTGGCATCATCCGCTCATGCCAACACAAACATCTGCTGTGCTCGTTATGACAAGAAGCTCTTTTGGAATGGTCCTTGCCCCAATATCAGGACCGCCACCCATTTGGGTGGACTCCAGTGTTTGGGAAGTAACCCTGTGGGCAGAGAATCATGGGCATGGAAGCGTGGCATGGTTGGCACTAAAGAACAATGAACATCAGTATGTTGGCTGCTCGCAAACCACACAATATAAAAGAGGTGAGGAAGACATCAGCACTGTTGTGGTTACACATCATCTAAGATGAGACCTCAGTTGCTTTCACTCTATTGTGAAAGAGTAAAGGCATCTGTAATTTGGGCAGGAGACGGAGGGGGCACAGCCCGAGGCACAGTGCCAGCACACACACTGTGGGAATGACTCCACACAGCAAGTCAGTGCACTCGCAGGATATCAAAATGAATGACAAACTCCATTACAAAGAAAGAGGAGCAGCTGCCTTTTCTCCCTGACACACAATTCCAGTGCATTCTTCTTTCAGATCACATCAGATATCAAACAGACAAAATTGATGCACTCTCTTTAGATTCTTTGCCCTTTTTGCTTTAATGAGCTACACTTCCATTCAAAACTTTGGGGTCAGTTTTTTATGTTAACCAAGGCTGCATTTATTTGAAAAACACAGTAAAAATTAATATTGTGAAATATCATCACACAAGTTTTATTTATATAGATACGTCAGATGAGTAAAACATTGACTGTCGGATGTGCTGTACCTGTGCAGTCCAGGCGTTCTTCATGATCTTCTTGTAGATGAGAGCTGGGCAGATGAAGCAGATCAGACTGCCCATGGTGGCTCCAGTCAAACCCAGGATGGTCTCCACTACGGCACACGCACACAAACAAACATTTATTTTATAGAACCATTCTGTAAAAGATTTTTACAAAAAAGTATATGAACTACATGAAATTAAGGTCTTCAGGCTGTTGATTAGTGGTTGCTAGGGCACTGCTAAATGATTGAAGTGGTATCCTGGTCTCTAAATATGATGAATAAAAAATTTGAGGTAATATTAGTTATACGTCAAAGTTTACTGATTTCAAATGTACTTGACTCAACAAACCCCTAACCGTAATTTTAAGCAATAGTAACAGTGAGACTCACTTTAACATACACCACTAAATTCGCATCTAAAAAAAAATCATAGTATTCAACCAATAGATCCAGGTATAAAATATGATTGAGTCATATTTGAAGCTATAAAACAGCCCATACACAGCTGAATTCTATATTAATGTATTAAGTTGCTACATTACAAAATCAAAACAAATGTAAGGCTAATGGACTATATTACTTGGAAGAATAGATTTGTGAAAGTATTTTGCAGTTAAGAACTCTAATTATTCATTGCCCATTAATGCTATCAGATTTCTACTTGCAGTCATTGCTCATTGCTCTTGAATGAAACTTGAAAGTTTCCTTTTGAAGAATATTTTTCAAGATAAAAAGTAGTTTTTAAAAACAACATTTTTTCGAAATGTTTCAGATTTTTTTTTAAATGTTTTTGAAAAAAGTATTTTACGCTCACCTAGGCAGTATTTATTTAATAACAAATACGGTAAAACTGTAATAACGTGAGATTTTTACAATTTAAATGCTCTTGTGATGGCAAGTTTTCAGTGTCACATAATCCTTCAGAAATCATTCTGATATTCTGATTTGGTGCTCAAGAAACATTTTCTATTAAACCCAAGCCTGAACTAAATTAACAACATGAACAGGTAATATTATCTGATTTGTTTTTACAAATATTTAAACTTTACTGCCCTTGACACTCACTGTAAGTCATATAACACTATTTTAACAGTTGTAAAAATCACTGTAAAGCACAGCCTTAGGTGGCTAATTGCTCTAAGATATAAACCAAAATAGCAACTAAGTGTACAAATCTATTCCAACCTGCACTATATTCAGACCCAGCATGAGGAGGCAGTTTAAACCGGAAAAAATGGCACAGGCAATCTACACCATCTCATCTCCTGAATCACCACATCCATCCTCCATCAGTCTTTCTCCCCATACCGCTCCATCACACGCTCCCCCCCTCATCCTTCTATCTGCCTCCTACCATCCTTCCTCCACCCTGCACTTGTGCTGCAAGGCTGGGCAGTGGGCCCAGGGGGTGTTTTTCATCCTGAGAGCAGCCATATTGTTTTACTCAAATTTATGCCCTGCAGTGTCTTCTTCCCTATGGTTGGATTTGTGGCCGTGAGGACACGCCAGTGGCCAGCGGAGCTGTCATGGAGGACAGAGCTATGCCTTTCCCCCATTCAATCGTCTCTGCGAGTCTCACCTTCCCTTCTCTATTAGTCTAATTGGGCCCGCTGAGCCAAGTGGAGCCCAAGCCAGCAACAGCCAATCTCCATGAAGAATGAATAAAACATGGCCCACCCCACCATTGCCTAAAACATACATCTTTATCATCCTGTTCCGCTGATAATGAATGGACGGTATAGAGGGGAAGGATAAGGAGTGATTGACAGAGAGATATTTTAAAAGGGGAGATAAAGTGGGGTGTGACGTCATGGGGTATTAGCGAGAGTAACACAAACAGACTTACCATTAGGAATGAGGATGCCGCCCAACATGGTGCCAAAAACAATGCAAAGAGTGATGCTCTTGAAGCGAAGTGGTGGCATATACCCACCTGCGGCGAAGGTGCCATCCTTTTGCTGAAAAACAGAGACAAACAGAGCACTTTCACAAACCTGTTACTAGATTCCAGGCACACATGTAGTTCTCCAAGCCCCTGTTATGGCTGAACAAGTGAAATGCATGTAAGGATATTGGGTTTGGCATGCAAGCTTCATAAACCCCCCTCCGCTCTGTTGTCAAAATGCCAGATTTAACGACAGCATAAAACCCTTCGCCCGACCGCGAATACAGCCGTGATTTGAGCTGATTCAGCGTGGCAGCGGCGGTGAGACAGCGAGCCAATGTCTTGGCTGGTTTATGGAGGAGATCTGGACCTATTCTCATCAATCCAGCCCCTTTTATTTCCTCCTGAATCTCTCCGTGCCCCAGCAGTCTGCTGTCCGTGGAGGCTGGATCACTGGTGTCTGAGAGGTGGAAGGAGACGTTGGATCTCAAGGCATCCATACTGAGGGACAGAGCAGGCAAATGCATGCTGACTGAGACCAGACTTGGGGTCTGACATCAGCCCTGTGTAAAGCCCTGTTAGGCTCAATGAAGTCTTTATTGAGTCCATTAAATTTAGCAAAATACTTCTGCAGCTGGTGCAGTTTATGTGCATCAGGAAAGAGGAGACACCTGAGTTTGTCCAGACAATGTCCAGATGGTGGCAAGTAAATGATTTTATAAATAGGCCAAGAATTTTGCTATGTTTAAAAAAGGGTATTAATTTGGTGGACAAAATGGGATTTTGTTGTTGATACAGTCAGTATGTACAACCATCACAGGGACTTCTGACAGTCCTGTCTCAATTCTACTTTAAAATAGGTCAATCTAACACTACACTATTCAGGTTCTCAAAAGTAAATGGTAAAAGCAATAAAAACAGAAGTGCCGGGGTTACTGAAGTCCAGGAACCCAAAGGGAGCCAACAAGGAGGTTTAGTGTAAGTTTAGTGAGAAAAATCATGTAGGAAAACAAAAACAAAAAAAACTATATATATATGTTATAATATAATATAATATTTGAAATACTATATTCATAATATATTACAGTATAAACTGATTTTTATACATGAAAATATATTGCTGTCTATATATTTTAGGAAGGGGGTCGGTTGCAAGGGAAACATTATATTTGGGGGTCCATGGCACCAAAAAGTTTGAAAACCTCTGTCTTTGTAAAACTGTTACCTGCTGCTCGAATAGCATGGTGTTGATAGCCTGTCTGCAGGGCAGGATCATCATAGGAAAGCCCACAGCCACAGACATCATGAAGCCCACACGGATCATTTCCGTTACCAGGTTAGATGGAAAGTTCATCAGTACGTTCCCGGCAATGTTATCTGTGAAGCTCACATAACCAAAGAACCCCACCTGGAGGAACATAGTACAAAGCACGGTTAAGCGTCTGAGTCTTTGAGTCTTATGATGGACAAATCTGCATAACACTCAAGACAAAATGAAACAGCATTCATAACTTTTGTAATGCGATTAATTTTCAATTAAATCCTAAATAGTAGATAATGTAAGGCAAGACTTGATTTTATCCATTGGATCATGAAAGGATATTATAGTATTGCTTTATTCTTTTCTGAGCACAAACATTGTTTTAAGAAGTTTTTATGTTCAATTAAAAATCATCAAAACATATTTTGCATTTTGGCACAGTCCGTGTTAAAATATATTCACTGCAGTTTTTCAATTCAAAAAGTTGGATCACAACTAAGTTCTAAAGTAATGTTTGTTTGGATGCAAACAAAGTAAAAAAAGAATCTGTTACATTGATTTTCCACTTCAGTATGTGGTACGTCTGAGCAAACATACAATTTCATACAGGGTCACTTGATCCTGCTTGAAATGATCAGGACTAATACTTCTTATGGCATTGTAAAGAAGCAGCCCAACAGAGATCCATGTCTCTTTCCTTGTCTCTTTGATGACCTCACAACACCTCCTGACTGTGCAATGATATTGTTTTTATGTGATGAAAAATAGCAAGCTGCTTTTCAAAGGTCTTTAAAGCCTGTCAGCCCCCCGAAGGCCCTCTCTACAGAGAAACAAAGCAGTGCCTTCCCTCTCCGACCTTGCTGGCCTTGATCTATCCGCAGAGGAAAAGGTTCCCTTCAGTAGCAACACCAGGCAGATGTCCTTGAGCCCGCCACAAAACTCCCTCTCTATTCTATTCTACAAACCCTCCCGATTCAATTCAGCTTTTGTTCAAAGTGGAAAAAAAGCAAAAAGCTGATGAAATATGAAAGTAGAATACAAAGAACACTGGGAAAAAAAATCATGAGCAATATTATCTCTCAAGGTAACGTTTATACTCCCGCTTTCAAAGAGCATGGGGACCAGAAACATTCTGACGATGTCTTAAAACACATTCCACACAAAGTGGCCCTGAAAATATTTATGAAGGAATAAAAGAGACACAGCATTTGATGTTGATGGAGCGTGTCAGTGCACGTGGGTCACAGAAGAACATGCCAGTCAGTCTGACCCCATCGTCTGAGTTCACTCTGTTCCTTTGAAAGGGAATCGTGAGGACATTCCGGGGTATCAGTGTGCGCCCACCACCCACAACAGGGGAAGGTGATCATCTGTGGAGCCGGATATGGATCTAAGAGTAAGAACGTGAGCAGACAGCAGCTCTACTATCCTTGAATCCTCATTTCTTTACCGTGTCTGAGGCACATGCTCCCAGGAGCCAATAAGGACAGAGCAGCTACAAAATGTTTGTTGAATTTTAAATATTTTTGAAAAAAACTATTATGCTCACCAAGGCTGCATTTATTTGATCATAAATACAGTAAACCAGTAATGCATTAGTATCAATGAAGTATTATTAAAATTTGAATACTTTTTTTATTTTAATATTTTTTTTAAATGTAATTTATTCCTGTGATGACACCAGTCTTTAGAGTCACATGATCATTCTAATATGTTGATTTGGTCCTCACAAAACATTATTATTGTTATCAATGTTAAAAAATAAAACAAGACAGAATAATATTTTGTGTAAATCGTTATACATTTTTCAGTATTCTTTGATAAAAGTTTAAAAGAGCAGCATTTATTTAAAATAGTAATATTTTGTAATATTATAAATGTCTTAAATGTTACTGTTGATAAATTTAATACATCCTTGCTGAATAAAGGCATTAATTTCTTTTTTTTTTTAAATCAGACTGACCCCAAACGTTTAAACGGTAATATACAGTATACTAATTAAGACCATTTCATCGTCATATGACATGACTATCCGAAGTGTAAGACATTTTTATTTATTTCTATGAAATATGAATATAATAATAATGAAAGATCACTTCTCATTTGTCAACAAATTAAAAAGCAGCAGATAAGAGGTGGTCAGATTGCACTGGCCAGATTTTAAGCTTTTAGATCACACTTGTGACTAAATAATTAGCTAATTAACCAGTCACTCCAGTTGAAAATGTTAAAACAGAAAAATAAATGGAATGGTTCTTGTTTTGGCCTCAACAAGCTGCTGATTATCAGTTAGCAGTTGATGAATGGTCTCACACACTTACTGTGATGTAGAAGGTTGTGACCACGTTGAGCGAGGAGGTGAATATTGTGCTCATTCTCTTCACTGAGGGCTCATCCAGGCTGTCGTAAGTGGGCAATACTTGCCTATGGAAGAAAAAGCTTTTTATATACATCAGGCTCAAGATGCATACATTAAAGTAGTAGGTCAATACAACTTAAAACTATGACATACTGTTGATTACTACAGCTATAAATGTAGTGTTCAGTTGTATTTGTGCAGCTCAAATTTTTGATTAAATATTTATATTAGTTCTTTCAAAATGTTTGTTATTTGAGCTGTAAATAAGTCTAAATCATTGTTTAACAGAGGGGCTACGGTTCTAGGTGGAAGAACATTTGGTTGTATTGGGTGAATGTTTCATATTGTAAACAGTTCATTTCTTGTGTCCTTGTGTATATCATGTGAATGCTACTGGGTCTAACCATTTTACCATAAACTGATCCAATATGTTGGATATGCAAGTAAACATGATTTTTTCTGTTTTTTACAAACTAAGTGACAACATATTATAATCGACAGCATTTCACAGATAAAGTCTACAGACTTGCATTAAACCCAAAGCATTCCTTTAAAGTATCACAATACTAATTATTATAACAGATGCACAATTTGTGCAATGTCAGATTTATAGTAACATTATGACAAAATATAACAAATATAACATTATGTGAATTCACATAAATGCTTATTTATGGGTTAACTCAAACTGACCAGTCACAGTATAATCATTATTTAGCATAAGGACATACTGAACTGTGCGTTTGAGCTCTAGAGACACAAACATGCAAGAGAGCAAGAGAAGCAGGAATTTAATATAGAAAGGCCATCACTCATTTCAGACACACAAAAGACAAAATGGAGGGAGGGTGGGAAGGAGGAAGAGTCGAATTGGATGAAACGAGCACTGATAAAGGGTTCAGTATCACAGAGAAACAAAAAACAGCTACAAAAAGAACAGAAAAAATCTATGTCTGTCATCAGGACAACCAATAAAACCAGACGCCAGCAAAACATTAAATGGGGAATTTACAACTGCTATATATTAGCGACAAGTGCTAGTCAGACTTTAGCATGTTATAAAATTTTCTGGCAGTATGGGCTTTTGTTTGGGCTCTCTTGCTCTCAGCCCACTCACAGCTCTCGTAGACACAGTCAGAGCCCATTCCTGCTTTTATTAGGATATACAGTACAATGTTCTGGGCTTTTTAAGCCAACGCCTGATCTCACACCAAAGGCCAGTCTGTCTCATAGCTGGAACTCACTCGCAATAAAAACCAGAGCAGTGGGAGAGAAAGAGAGAGAGAGAGAGAGAGAGAGAGAGAGAGAGACGTCCATGTAGACTTCTACATTTTATGTGTATTTCTTTTTTCATTTTTCACTTATTCATTAAAACACAGCAACACAGCACAGTTTTGATATTTCTCAAGCATTAATTTTCCATTCAAACTCAGTTTGAGATTTGAAAATCTCCCATTGACTACCATTCAAAGTTCGGGGTCGGTAAACATTTTTAAGAGACGAATTAATACTTTTATTCAGCAAGGATGCATTAAATTGTTTAAAAGTGACAGACATTTATAACGTTACAAAATATTTAAATGCCATTTTTTTATTTTCTATTCATTAGAGGGAAAAAACTGTATCATGGTTTCCAAAAACATGTAGCATTACAACTGTTTTCAACAATGATAATAATAAGAAATGTTTCTTGAGCACCAAATCAGCATATTCAAATTATTTCTGAAGGATCATTTGACACCAAATACTGGAATAATGGCTTTTGAAAATTCAGCTTTTCCATCAAATTAATAAAGTATATTTAAAATATAATAAATCAGAAAATCCATTACTTTAAATTTTAATAATATTTTACAATGTTTTACTGTATTTTAAGCAAATATTTTTGATTCAAAAACATTTAAAGAATCTTACTGACTGTTGAACATGCGCATGTTGATAGAATGTTTGCCATTCAAAATGCAATGGAAATTTGCATTCTAACATTTATTTGTATACTGTATTGCACAAATCTCTACAATTGTCAGGAAGCCAAAAATGTCTATGATCTGAATGTGGCATAATGTAGGATTCAGCTAAAAAAAAATGCAAATTTCCTTTCTCCAAGGAAACACTTATTTACTGACACTATTTGCCACCCAATGGTTGATTCTCATGATTTACCCAAAACTAAAGTCTAAAATCTGATTTTACTTGCCTTGCATGCATTGGTATTTCCCTCAAAAACTACAAATTTGGTTTTATAATTTCCTTCTGTTTAAGTTTTAGTCTTTCAAGTCCTTCCAAAAGCTTTTTGACAATACCTTTCTTGTATTTGTATATCTTTTTTGAGAAATCCGAATCTGAGAGAGAGAAATAAGAGGAGGCGGCCACACAGCCAATCAAAAGCTTTTACAGCCATGACATGGATGCAAAATTGAATTCAGACATTCAACTATAATTACATAGAATTCAGTGTCATAAGACTGAAAGAAAGGACTACAGAAAAGCCATTCCTGATGAATGGAGAGAAAAGACCCCAAAAACCTATTCCTGATGAAATTACAGTGTGTGTGGAGGGGGAAGATCAGTGATGCTACAGTCCCACTGCACTTTCTCTACACCTCTACCAAGTGTTGACACAATAATTATTTTGCAATACTGCTAAAATGATCCCGTCATAACACCTAAAGCTGTGAACCTGCGACTTGATGCTGTGTTAGCTGACATGACAATTTTACGATAGGAATAACACCATTATGGTGTTTACACATTACAGTGGAATTTACACATTAAGCGGGAGCCGTATAAGGGTGCCAGTGGACCCAGAATGCTGCTCTTCAATGAACAGTATCTGTTCTCTTAGTCAAAAGAGCAAGCAGGTCAACTTTTCTCTAAAGATTAAATTTGGCATCGGATAGAGCTCGTACTAAATGTACTAAAGTAATAAATGTAAATGGATGGGTAAACGTAGGCGCTGACAGGAACTGTTTGTGGTCGGATCAGAGGTCATGTCGCGCCGTCTCGCTCTTCTAATGAACGGGTGTAAGTGGCATTGTATGTCAATGCCGGCCAAAAAGCCACAGCCAAATATCACTCATCACCCTTCAGAGAAAGAGTGTGTGTGTGTGTGTAAAGGGGGACTTACAGTAAGCTTCAAGAGCCGCATTACCTCATCCACACCAGAATCCAACACTGACACCTCCTCCACCCCAACACCCTCACTCTCAAACACACACACATCTGTGCTGGCATCTGTACACTCAGACACCTCAATTCTATTCACTTCCAAACACATTAATATCCAGACAGACACAAACACAAGCACCATGTTAATATCTATGTATAACTTCTATGTATATTTATCTGAGAGAATTGTATGGATAAAAGTTACTGTTTTTGTCACAAATTGATGTTTTTGTCTGAGAATATTTTATGAACATTTATAATAATTAGAAATGTTCCTTGAACATCAAATCAGCATATTAAAATGGCTAAAGAACCATGTGAAACTGGAAGACTGGAGTTGTGACTGCTAAAAATTTATCTTTGTTGTCACATGAATTAATGACATAAAAATATGAACAAAAATGAAAATATATTAAAACAGAAAACATTCTATTGTTCCGATATGTAACAATATTACTGTTTTCACTGTATTAATTTATCAAATAAATGTAGCTTTGACAAAGATATATATACACATACACACAGTGAAACCAAAAATTATTCAGACACCAGATATAATTTTTGATATTTTTTTACTAGTGGGTGCAGGACACTATAGTTTATAAATTTAAATGAGGATAGCAAAGTAAGGTGAACTGTGACATATTATACCCAAAAATTCTTCATACAGTGGACTACCAATAAAATTTGGGATCAAAAAATATTCAAGACACTTTGACCTGACCAAGTGTTTTTTCTTTAATTGCTAATGTGACCTTTTTACACCACAGACTGAACAAAATTAAGCATTGCTTGGTAATTGGTTGACCTAAATTGGTATTATCTAATTGTGTACTTAAATTTAACAGCTGAATAATTTTTGGTTGATTGTAATCCATTACATACCTTTCTATCAAAGTTAGTTAAGGGGGTCTGAATACTTTCCGTACCCACTCTGTATATATATATATATATATATATATATATATATGCTGAATATACCTGGATATATTTAGTTTAATTGTTTACAAAAACATGAATTTGAAAGATAATATTAGACATGTCAACTAAGTAAAACTATGACAACCATATGTGTATTGTACAGATTTTATGTAATATGATGTGGATATAGTAAAACTACAGTGGAAATGATTTGCGCATTAAGAAATTAAACTTAAAAAAGAGAAAAGAACAGCTGAAGGAACTAGGAGTGGAAGATCAATAGACACTGGTGAATGCCGTTAATGTTGTGAAAGATAAGAAACAGAAAGAAGTGAGTCAACGTCTCTCCATGCCCAAACTTAAGATTGCATAACCAGGTAAACAACTGAGATTACCAACCCCTTGCATGGTTAGTATATTTGAGCTAGCGAAAAGGAAAGAAAAGAAACATAAAATTAGGTCAAGATGGGGAAAAAGAATGTGAATTCTTATCAAGACAAATGTCTGCCAGCAGTATCAAAGACCAGTAACAACTATGAGCTCAACATTAGTCTATGGTACTCCCACAACATATCAGAGTTTCAACATAATACAAATAAAGACTGTGTCAGTGCACAGTGGTTGAATTCATCAGGGGAAGATCCGGTCACGGTGAGCTCTTTATGGATGAACTATGATGAGCTGCAAAAACTCATCATTCCTTGTTTATGAATCATTAATGCTTGTATCAGAATGCACTAATATTTCAACTGTATGCAGATCTGACAAGCTGCCAACTGACAAAATAAATCAAGACGACCTTGTGGGTCAGTCTATTATTGCTAAGAAAACCCAAGCTATTCAAACACGTTAAAAAGGGAAAGAGGCCTTTCATGGTTAGGAATAGTTCACTCATAAAAGAAACTCATTTTGTCATTATTCACTCACCCATCATTCCAAACCTGTATGACTTCTGACATGGCAAGTTTTTAATATGCACATATGCAACAGAGATTTTAAAGCTACGGCAGAAGCAAGTCAAGCAGTGAATAAAAAACGTAAATGTCTATCTTTTCCTCCATAAAAGAAAGAATGTCATACAGGTTTAGAATGACATGACTGTGATTAAATGATCACAGATTTTTCATTTTTGGGTCAACTATGACTTTAAGGAACAGAGTTAGAGTTAAGAATAGGATAAAAACAGTATACGCAGAAGGCAAAAGTTAGACATTCCATGCAGGTTAGTGCCACATTCAGCTGAATAAAGAATATAGTTATGAGTATGACATAAGCTGAGCACCTTCAGAATATATCAGTCTACCAACAAGGGTCCATTTTCTCAGGGCAAACACACTTGCATTAAATGCATTGGCTCTTGAATTCAAGGAATGTTAAGATGTCCTTTTGCACCATGAAAATGGAGCCCTACATTAAGCCAAACTGGCCTTATTCAGGCGACAGAAAGGAGGAGAGAGACGGTGCAAGGACTGCGGAGTACTTACGACTGACAGGCAAATGCCATGCCACAGATAGGGATGCAGCGAAAGACGCCGTCCCACCGAACGTAAATGACCTTGTTCAGCCACTGGCCAGTGAGGAGGCCGTGTTTGAAGGAGGAGAGCACCATCTGTGGTGGAGGGGAAAGCAGGAGGGTTACAGATCATCCCATAAAGACAGGGCGGAGGGAGGAAGAGGACGACGAGAGGGGCAGTAACGATGCTGTGATAAGACCCTTAGACTGACAATGAAGAGTGCATGGAGATCCTGTAATCTTTTTAAAGGGATAGTTCATCCTAAAATTAAAATTCTGTCATCTTTTACTCACCTTCATGTCATTCCAAATGAGCATGACTTTATTTTGGCATGGAACACATTATGGACAATGTGCTGGTCACTCTTTTCAAATGCTCAGAAAAAAAGACAAAGATATCAAAGTATAATAAAAGTGACCCATACCATCTATTTGAATATATTTTGAATTTTCAGCAGCCATTAACTTCAGCCTCACGTGATACTTCAGAAATAATTCTAATGTTGATTCGGTTCTCAAGTTAATATTTCTTATTATCAATGTTGAAAACAGTTCCTTAATATTCTTGTGTAAATTGTAATTTTGTCAGGATTATTTGATGAATAGAAAGTTTATAAAAAGCATTTTAAATAGATTTACTCTCTTTGATGTTACTGTCACATTTGATAAATTTAATGCATTCTTACTTAATAAAAGTATTAATAAAAAACCTTGCTGACCACAAATTTTTGATTGGTACTATATATGATAACTTAGTGTAAAAAATACTGAGAGTTAATTACTGCCTGATTTGAAAGCCATATGGGTTTAAAACAACATTATAGTGAGTAAATTATGATAGAATTTTCATTTTTGGGTGAACTACTCCTTCAAGGGGATAAAGAAAGGAAATAATTTTTTCAACTAATGGAGGAAAAACAAATCCTACTGATCAGCTTCCACACATAATTTTCAATGCCAGTTCATCTCTACAGGACAGCAAAACTTTCCTGTTGCATGCAAAAAAAATCTTGAAGGGTAAAATCTGATTGCTGCACACATTTGCAGAAAACATTTGCGGTAGCTTGCCACTTTCCCTTCAAAATCAAGAGCGCCAGCCCACGTAACCATCAGAATCACCACCAATCCCAACCCTATCAGATCTGCTTACTCAGTCATAGGATTTAACTCCAGCGTATTACCAAAGAGTCAAGAGAACTCTGATGACACACAACACATAAATTCTGCCACCATGGCACTAACCTCACACACACAAAAAAACCCTGAACCAGATGGCACCGACAAACAGAGCTTTGGATTGAATGAAGGTGGACAGAGGAGGAAGGGGATTTTGGGTAATGTAGTTGAATCCATGGCAGTAGTATGGTCCGTTCTCTGGGGCGGATTACTTACGGGTGGCAGCAGAAGGTGGTGGCGATAATTGGCAGACACTGTATGACACCCTTGAAGCGCCACAGATGTACTTGCTCCACCCAGGAGCCACTGATTATTCCGTAACGCAGAGAGGACAACACTATCTATAGGCCGCCAAGTCAGAGCATCAGATGGTCAGTCGGAAGTCAGCATCAGGAATGGGGGTGGGGCAGCGGTTCAGATGGGGGCAGAGGGAAAACATAATTAGATGGTAAAATGCTAAACTACGAAATGGGTTGGGAAAAAAACGGCCCACTGAGCTAGATAAAAATAGATATACTAGATTACTATATATAGTAGATATACAACTGCATAGGTTGTGCACTCAGTGCAGCGCACTAAAAACATTAATGTCTTTAATGTCAATGACTCTGGAACTATTATAAGATATTCAGTCCAGAAATCTGGACTACACATAGAAATAATTCTATTCTATATTTTTTATACAATTTTATTACAAATTATGTTATCGGCATAATAGTTTCAGTGAAATCTTTAAAAGTTTGTATAAAAACAGATGGTGTTCTCTAGATTTGAGAATGTTCCAGAGAGTCTTTTGCTGCAATGGAACACTTGACTGTCTGTATGATAAGTGACCTAGAAATAGTGCAGAACCTAAAATATGTCTTCATTCTCTGGTTTAAATTTCTCAAAATCCTAAAATTATTTACAGATTAAATAAAAATAAAGATTTTCAATATGATCTCAGCATTTTAAACCCATTGTATATAACTTGGACAAAAAAAAACAATTTTGAGTCTAGAATTTAAGTATAAATTTGATTTAAAAGCTCTGCGTACAACACTAACTCAGTATGTACAACACTAACTCAGTATAAGGTTTCAGAATGTTTTGTAATGGTTCTCTTCAGTTCTTTCAGAACTTGCTCTTTACTTTTACGCTTTTACAGATTTGGAGCAGGAAACATTGAAAATCTGCTGCCATGGTAATGCATATTCACACAAAAAAAAAAAAACAGGCAAACGCCACATTACACTCTTTAAAAGGGACCAAAAATTGGCAAATTTTTTTTTTTTTTTTTTTTAAATGCTATAAATGAATTCCACACATACTTTAAACACAGCATCATTGAAGTGACCTGAAATGAATGTGAAAAACATGACCTTAAAGCAACCATAACGAACAGCTGCAATCTGAAGTGTTTGAAAGTCATGTTGAAGTGCACTCTTATGTTTTACACAACATTTTTATATCATTTAATATATTCAAAATGCTAAAAGATCAAATTACTTTCTCATACAAATGGCAAATATAGTGAATATATGTGTATGTGTACACATACACATACTGTATATTCCCACACCTGAATGAGGGTGTGCTGATGGAATCTAATATTACATTTTTCAGGTTGGAGTTTGGATCTGTGGAAAGGGGAATGACTCACCGTGAACATGAAGAGTGTGTAGAAGATAAGTGCCATGGCTGAAAACGACTGGATTGATGACATCATGTTTCTTTGCAAGCTGAGCGGCAGCACAATGAACAGCGACACAGCGATCAGTAACACGATACGGAAGCTACGCGTCACCTGAAGGAGCAAAAAGAAAAGCAGTTATCGGCCAATGCAGGGCAACAAAGCTGTGTATATTTATATACACAACAGCAACATAACACATAGCTATATGAAAAATGACACAGAAAACATTGGTCATCATTTAATGTACAGTAAAAATCTAATTTTTTATTTATTTAACCATCAGCATTTCATCTAAGATGCCTAAAGTTTTTTTGTTTTTCTCCAGAAAACACATGTCAAATATTCAGAAACAATTATGCAACCAAAACTAGAATACAAGAAACAAAATCCGTACTATGACTTGTCACGTTTTTGTGATCGGTCCCGTTTCACAAAAAGATGGCTCATCTTGCATAAGATGCCGCATGTAACACAATGAAAATACAGATTTGTGGCCAGGCCAGTAAGAAATCACCTGTCACTGACAGGTGTGATAAAAAAATAATTTTCACACAGAAACTGTGATCTCATCTACACTAAAATCATAAAAAGTCTATGAAGTGTTTTTTATGGTTACATGACACACAGCTCAGCACTTTTTTTTAAGATAGCGGCCTTTGATTTTATCATTTCAGGAGGTTTATGAACAAGGGCAATGATCAGTTCTGGGAATTGCTTATCATTAATTGATTTGGAAGAAATGTGTTGGAGTAACAACAGTAGTTAACATAATTTTAGTCATGTGACAACATACAATCTTATTTCTTACCTCCAGCCCAAGCAGCTGAGCAAAGAAGTTGGAACCCAGATCTGCGATGACGACATAGAAAGCAATACATGTCCCCAACATGAGGCCAATCATGCTGAAAACAGAGAGAATATAAGTAGATCATACAAGAAGCAATAAGAGCTAATTTAATTCATGAGGGTGAAGATGAATCTCCACAAGTCATCTTACCTTAATTCCACAAGTGCCTTGCCTGGTTTTCCATAAGCATGAAAAGCTGGGAAGGGAGAGAGAAATGAAAAAGGCTTCTTGTGAAATTGTCTTGTAAAATTACAGGGATTTTTTTTACCGCTTTCACAAAAAGGGTTGTACATTTTCCTCTTGATTAGAATTTTTTTTAAATAACACTAATATCACAAATACAACTTTTAGTCTGCATTAGCGGTGAGTTATAGGTTCTTGGCTTTTCTGTTTTATTTTGCTTACTTGTAATGAGAAAAATACAGTTGATGCAATCTGGTCACCTAATTTAATTAACAATATAATAAAGTATTCCACTGTAATCCACACTGAGGATGCTTCAAACATTATCATAATGATGGAAATTGATGAAACCTCTGAGTGTGTCTATTGCTTTTTGTCACGCTCACCTAGTCCAGCGTAAGTCCTGCGTTTTGTGTTACTGGCCGAGTGGACTACAAACATGCAGGACTGGTGGGTCATCCACGAACAGAAGAACAACAACAATGTGCCCAACACCATTCCACACTGCAAAAAGAATGAAAAAATGGCTATAAAAATTAAGAGACAAACACAGATGCCCTATATGTTTAAATTCCAGCCCCAGTAAAAGTGACATGCTTTTACTGATTCTTGTATAAAATAGTGGACAAACTAAAATAGCAGCTTATCAATTTCTGATTCACTTTGTTCATTCAGTTCCTTATTGCAGATTTCAACATTTGGAATTCTCCTGTAAGTATACAAAACAACACAGCACATGTTCCCATAAGCTCTAACCATGTGTTTACCTGTTTGAAGCAGAAGGGCATCGTCAAGACACTCACACCCACAATGCTGTTTACAACGTTCATGATCAGACCCCAGTTTGACACAGTCATTTTGGCTCTCAGACAGCTGAGATCTTTAATGTCCAGACAGGTATGTGTGGTGCTTCCACAATGGCCTAAGGTTTAATTGCGATAAGTGGCTTGATGCAGCTGTCCTTCAATTGGCCGCTATGACGTTCTGTGGAGACGCAGAAGAAAACAAATACACCAGCATCATATTCAACCCTACTGAATGAGAGATTTTTGTTTTTTAAATGTACTCATTTGCTAGTGTTATACTTTATGTATGAAGAGGAATATACAGCTTAATACAAAACGGCAATGTATAAACCATTAATAAACAATTAAATAGCTTATTTATTCATTTTGTATGCTTTAAAACATCCAAACAGCTTCTGGAAAACAGTAATCAATAAAAATCAAAGCATACAAAATCTATATAATCAATACAAATTTTATTCTAGTAAACTTTATACCAACCAGACTATGAAACATACAAAAGATACTAGATTTAGATTGATATAGGGCTAGAAGATTTCCTTTCATGCTAAAGAAAGCAGATCATTACAGAATGACATCTGGAACAAATTGAACACGTTTATCTATTGTTAGTCTACAGACATGTTCAACTAACCTGATTCCCTTACAACATTAAAAACGTCATATCTGTAATTGCTGTGCTGATTACAAACATTCAGTGCAGTTGTCAAATGTGTTTTAGGTTTTCTTGCCATATGGCAACAGTTGTGTTGTCAGGAGCACTTTTGAGTACTTTTACACAACTCATAGAACAAATTGATTGGTAATGTGTGGGAAGATGTTTTTTGAGGGGCTCAGTATAAAATAAAATCAGAAATGGCAGCATGTGTTTGCATGTAGCAGACACAGAAAATATGCTGTGCTTTTATTTTTTAAACACTCTTGAAAACACACATTTAATTTATCAGAGTAATATCAGTGTGCATGTGACAACATGTATGAATATTATACAGTATACAAACCAGAAATATTAATTATTGTATACTGCTTTTAATTTAGCTCATTTAATATGCTATTCAATACAACAATTAACATTTCTCATGCGTAAACATTGTCCGTCTATAAAGTTTCTCATATCAAGACTGAGGAGGTTATAAAAAAGTTTGTTTACATACCAAGTCCACACTTTTTCCCATCAGTCATTCATTTCTAAGTGACCATCGGTTCATGACTGTTTTAAAACGATTATAAATAAACTTCCTGTTATATTTGTGCCGTCTGTATAAAGTTGCAGGAGATTCAACAAATATTTAGAAAGAAATTTCCCGAATTGTGCGAAAATGTCCTTGTTTCCCCAATCTGTAACCAGGCAGGAAGTATGCGCAGCGCGGCCAGTGTGGCGTTACCAAAGGCACTAGTGCGCCCTGCTGCCTCCAGTGGCCAGGGGTGGAACTGCACGCTGCCTACAGCCTGTCACGGTTAGTCAGGATCACTTTCGTTTGACAAATATAGCTCAAATTGGAAGTTGACAGTTTGTTCATTTTGTTTTCAGAGTAACTAACACCTGCAATATCTTTTGAGTCCCACGATGCTTTACTTTGACACACGGTGTAGAACTTATGCATGCAGAGATCATATCAATGGCTCGGTCTGTCAACAGCACCTACACAGACGAAACATGGTGTTGTTTCATTTGGACAGAGATTTGAGCAGGAAAGGGAAGCAGGAGCAAGGGATGTTGATCTGCAACAGGAGCCCTGCGGGATCCGGGCAACAGAGGCTTCTGTTCTGTTACTGGTGTGTTTGGAGGAGAGAGGTTGGGACCAGCGTGCCCCAGTCAGGCATGCGCTCTCCTGGGAAGGGATTTTAGTGTGTTGTTTTAGGGGGGCTGGTTTTAGGTGGGAGACAGGAAAAGTCTGGCTATTGTGTACCACTGGCCTTCGAACCTAACTGACAAGTCAGCCCATTGGCCGGAGGGTCTTGTCACTCCACACCTAATCCCTGAAGATTGGAATTAGGCCCGAGCAGCAGAAGGGGAGACAGTGGGCAGATTGCTAGGCAGATTTGGGG